GGGCGGTGGCCGGGAGCGGCCACTGCACTCCAGTCTGGGTGACAGAGTGAGACTCCAACTCAAAAATAAATAAATAAATAAATAAATAATTCAACAAACATCCCAAAGGTAGTGTAAGGCAATATTAAATGATATAGGGTACCATTTATCACAAAGTTTTCACTTTACTTAAGTGTATAATATGAGAAAACCACAACTTTAAAAAGAAATGGCAAGACTAAGGAGAGTATATCATCCAAAGCCACATGTAATCAAAGCAAGAAAGTCCTCATAGTGAGCTAGCTACAACAGTGCATTTGTATAATGGCAAACTATTAACAGTTAAAGTGAAAGAATATCTATCATATACTAAGAATATCTTGTTCAAGATCTTACCTTTATATGCCATCTATGAAGTTTCCCAACTAAAATACTACCCTCAGTTTACCGATCACCTTCCATTTACTGGGCATCTTATTAGGTACTTTATATACATAATATTTCTCACTAAAGTATTACAGAAACATTATATTAAATACTTTATTAATAATGAACTATAACTTTTCTAACTTCATACAGCAAAAAAACTAGCAGAGCTGATATTTGAATCTAAGTGTATGATTTCAAAGCTTTTATTTCTAGAAGCTAAATTGTGTAGTGGTTTAGAGTTTGGGTTCAAATTTTCTGGCTCCACAACATTCCTGCTGTTTTCAAATCCTTATCTAATTTGAGCTCATAATATCTATATAAAGGATTTTCAATCCCTCCTTTATGAGATGAGGACAGTCTAAGATTAAGAAATTTGTTCAGGACGGGTACAGTGCTCACGCCTATAATCCCAACACTTTGGGAGGCCGAGGCAGGATTACTTGACCCCAGGAATTTAAGACCAAACTAGGAAACATAGCAAGACTCTGCCTTTACATAATTATCAAAAAATTAGCCGGGCATAGTGGTGCCCACCTGTCATCCTAGCTACTTGGGAGGCTGACACAGGAGAATTCTTTGAGCCCAGGCCTAGAGGCTGTGGTAAGCTGTGAATGTGCCACTGCACTCTAGTCTGGGCAACAGAGTGAGACCAAGGACTCAAAACAACAACAAAAAGACATTTGATCAAAGTCACAAAGCTATTCAATAATAGAAAACTAGCCATGCTCGGTGGCTCAGCCTGTAATTCCGCGCCTTTGGGAGGCTGAGGTGAGTGAATTGCCTGAGCCTGTGGGTTCGAGACCCGCCTGGGCAACTTGGCGAGACCTCATCTATACAATAAATCAAAAATCAGTCAGGCGTGGTAGCGCGTGCCTGTAATTCCGGCTACTTGGAAGGCTGAGGCGGAAGGATCGCCGGAGCCCAGCAGGTCGAGGCTGCGGTGGCCAGGAGCGGCCACTGCACTCCAGTCTGGGTGATAGACTGAAACTCCAACTCAAATAATAATAATAATAATAGAAAACTGTCGGCTGAGGTGAGTGGATTGCCAGAGCCCACTGGTTCGAGACCTACCTGGGCAACTTGGCGAGACCTCATCTCTACAATAAATCAAAAATTAGCCGGGCATGGTAGCGTGCGCCTGTAGTTCCAGCTACTTGGAAGGCTGAGGAGGAAGGATCACCGGAGCCCAGCAGGTCGAGCCTGCGATGGCTGGGAGCTGCCACTGCACCCCAGTCTGGGCCACAGAGAATCCAACTCAAAAAAAAAAAAAAGAAAACTTTCAGTTTATCTGTCTCCTGTACTTATCATTTATTTATGAGTGACCAGCAGTATAACATAAGGGCTAAAAGCAAAGAACCTAGAAATCAATTTTTGAGTCTAAAACCTGGCTTCAAAATTTGCTAGCTGTTTGACCATGATCAAATTAATTAACTTCTCTTTGCCACTGTTTAATCATTTATTAAATTGGGTATTAGTACCTCTTTGTACAGTTGTATCAAATATTAAATGAGTCAATATATGTAAAGTCCTTAAAACAATTCCTACTTAATCGTAAGTATTTAAGTTATCTATTTCTTTTTCATTCTCAGTAGTCTACAGTAACTTTAGAGCCCAACCTATAATACTTTAGGTTTACTTCCTCAGCAGTATAGACCAAAAGTCAAGTTTAAATTCTGGCTATACCACTTATTAACAGTATGATCTTGATCTAGTTCATCTCTCTATGCTAGTTTCCTCATGGAAAAAAAAAAAGTCTGCTGGCCGCTATGGCTCACGCATATAATCCCAGCGCTATGGAAGGTCAAAACGGGGAGGCTACTTGAGCCCAGAATTTCAAGACCAGTCAAGACAACACAGCAAAACCTCATCTCTACAAACTAGTAAAAAAATTTACCAGGCAGGGTGGCATACACCTGTCGTCCCAGCTACTTGGGAGGCTCAGACAGAAGGACTGCCTGAGACCAGAAGATCAAGGCTGCAGTGAGCCTTGATTGTGCCACTGCACTCCAGCTTGAGTGAGAGAGTGAGACCCTTGATTTAAAAAAAAAAAAAAAAGAAAGAAAAGTGAATAATAATAGTACCTATCTCATAGGTTCATTGTGAGTATTAAATGATGCATTCAAAGTTCTTAGCACAGAACCTGGCACATTGCAGGACTACAATAAATGCTATTATTAGTCTTTTCCTTCAGTTGGAGTATACAGACAGACTTTGGAGGTATTTCAGGTACTGAAATTTGTACCTCAAAGTTAGGTGCAAAATTTTTCATGTATGTATATAAGTAGTTTTTCTCAGGGAATAAGATTCGTGGCTCCCATTCAAAGGCATCTATAACATCTGCCTCCCATTCACAAACCCTAATCAGAACTGCTGCCCTAAGCCTCAGAGATTACAGAAATTCAGAGGTCACTAAATAAAGTGAAAAAACTAAAGAGTTGAATATATACCAGGAAAAACAACTTTAAATCACATGAGTATATATCTTACCTAGAATGTAAGAAATGAATATGACCCCAAAGTCAATCTAACAACAAAATTGAAAAAACAATATATTGAAAAAATAATATATACTTGTTACACAACTGTACCTTCAAAGAACAGAAGTTAACAAAACATTTTTTTTATTGAGTTGGAATCTCACTCTGTTGCCCAGACTGGAGTGTAATGGCACGCTCCCGGCCACTGTAGCCTCGACCTGCTGGGCTCCGGCGATCCTTCTGCCTCAGCCTTCCAAATAGTTGGAACTACAGGCACGCACTACCACACCTGGCTAATTTTTTGATTTATTGCAGAGATGAGGTCTTGCCAACTTGCCCAGACAGGTCTCGAACCCGCAGGCTCAGGCAATCCACTCATCTCAGCCTCCCAAAGCACAGGATTACAGGCTGAGCCACCGAGCTGGGCTAACAAATTTTCAAAGAATAAGAGCTGGCAATGGGGTAGAACAGAAGGGCCAAAATTAAAGCAAAAGGAATATGATAGCCTCCTTAGGTCATGTTTCCTATTGTCTTCATCAAGGCCATCTGGCACAAAGAAAAAGAATGCAGAAAATAAAGGTACCCCATGCATGCAATTCTAGTTTTGGGGAAAAAAAAAATCCCCATGTTAGCATTAATTGTTCCCTAGGGGGAAAAATAGCAATAAATCAGCCCAAGAGCCAAATAACAAGCCAATTTGCTTGGCTCTCACAGTAATGACAGACTGAGAAAATCAGGAGACAGGTGACAAGCTCCTCCTTTCTAATGCACATTAAGTGGGAAAGATCACAGATATTTTAGGAAACTTGGTACACCCTATGTAAAATAATTCCCATAAGAAATCAGTATTTAGAAAAGGGAAGGAACTCAACTATTTTCTCACTTGTCTAGGATGTAAATAACACCCATGTGATTTTTTTTTTTGAGTAGGAGTCTCATTCTGTCACCCATGCTGAAGTGCAGTGGCACACTCATGGCCACCGCAGCACTGACCTGCTGGGCCCAGGTGATTCTTCCACCCCAGCCTTCCAAGTAACTGGAACTACAGGCACGCATCACCACACTGGGTTAATTTTTGATTTACTGTAGAGACAAGATCTCGCCAAGTTGCCCAGGTTGGTCTCGAATCCCTGGACTCAGGCAAGTCTCTTGCCTTGGCCTCCCAAAGTGCTGGGATTACAAACGTGAGTCACTGTGCCTAGTTAACATCTATGTGATTTTTGACCTCTGAAGTTTAGGTACTATCTCCCATTAATAAAAGGAACTTCTGTGTATCTAAAATAAGAGAAGGAGGAAATGCAAATTATATTTACTATCTACTATGTACCAGATTCTTTAGTTTATTTAGTAATCTTATTTAACCCTTCATAATAATCTTCTGTTAGACAGAGATTGCCATCCCAGTTTTTACTTAGTTAATTAACTTCATCAGGTCACTCACCTAACAAGTGGTAGAGCTGGGATAAGAACCCAGATTTTCCCAATTCTAAAGATTATGTACTTCTTTTCCAATCTACCTTCCCAAGTTATATAAAAAAAAAACTGTAAAAATATTTCCATACCTGCTATTCATCTGAGGTCTAGCAAGAGGATACATAGGCTCCATGGTATTTGGAAATTTCAAATCCTCAATATCCTAAAGAATTAGAATATTACTAAAGAATGATGAAAACAAAGAATAAGAACAAAATGATTTAAGTAACAAAATTACAAGCAAAACTAGATTACTTACATGAAGTGACTATAGATTAGTAAGATTAAGTGCTTGTAGATTCTGCTGATCATTTTCATACCTTTGAGGCTTCTGTCTATAAATTACTGTTAGCATTATGCAAGCAGCAAAATCTACCAATACATCTACCCATTAAGGAAAGCACGAATTCTGCCCCAAAACCTTTGTATCAACATAGTGAGCTGGATAGGGCATGTACTATTTAATATATGAGATTATGACAAAAAGCACCACAATCCTCTGAAAACCATGAAGCAGGAGACAGGAACAATTTAGGCTACATATTTATTGAACCTATAACAAGGTCAAGAAATCTCCAATTTTGTGGCAATGGAAAAGAAAAAAAATACACTGTATCCCCACAAACTGACTTGTATCAGTAAAAAAATCAGTGTTCTTTTTTTGACTCCATATATTTTTCTGGGTACTTTCATCCTCCTCCATTGCTTCCACATTGATCTATACACAGCAAACTTTTAGCTTCCATCACTTCTGAGTTTCAAACCCATATTTCTAATTGCTTAACAGTGCCATTTAAATATTATTCAAGTGAAATACAGACCTAATAGTCCTTTCTTTACAGTTCAATAGTTCCTATATTTTTTTCTTAGAGTTCTTTAGGCCCTGCATTTTGTTTCAATTCTAGATCTTAAAAAAGTCTGGGCCAGGCTTGGGGGCTCAGCCTGTAATCCCAGCACGTTGGAAAGCTGACGCGAGTGGATTGTCTGAGCCTGTGGGTTCAAGACCAGCCCAGGCGACTTGGCAAGACCTCATCTCTACAACAAAATAAAAAATTAGCTGAGCGTGGTACTGCATGCCTGTAGTTCTGGCTTCTTGGAAGACTGAGGTAGAAGTATCACCAGAGCCCAGCAGGTCAACGCTGGGGTGGCTGTGAGTGTGTGTGCCATTGCTCTTCAGCTTGGGCGAAGGAGTGAGACTCCAACTCAAAATAATAAATAAATAAGTCTGAAGCAAGATAAGAGAAGAAAGGATTATTCATGCAGATGCAGAAATCATTTAGAAGAGATTTTAATACAAAGTCAGAGGCTGAAAATAGTTGCAAGAACAAAATTTTATTGAAAGTGTCCTTCTAAGGTTGCCTAAAAAGTCTTTTATAAAGATATCCGAACTTCAAAGGTTTAATGCAACCTCTATGGAATGCAAGCCTTAAGCTCTAAAACATTTCCATAGCACTTAGATGTCATGGATAACAGCATTTAGATGGACAACTGCAATTCTACAAAAAATATAACGTGTCATTGTTTTCCTCATTAAACTGCCGTGTCTTAAAAATTCCATACCTGTCTAGTGTTTATGCTTCAGGGTGAAAAGATGGATAACGCTGATGTCTCATTTTGAAACAATACACATAAAGTAGTTTATCCTGCTAGTCTTGCACAAGCAATGAAAGTTAATGAAACTAAAACCGCATGACACCTATACCTAACAAAACATATTCTCCTCGGATAATGGCATCATCATGTATAAGAGAGAAACGATCAAGTAATCTTCACCTCTTCTTCCTTGATCTCCTCCACATATAAATTCTTTCCACATCCACCACCTTAATTGCTAACTTCATCAACTCTCCCCAGATTTAATGAAAACTCCCAGTGGAATACTACCGGAGTCGGGGAGGGACACAACTGCAATAAGTGTACCTGATCTCAAACAAGACAGTGTGGGGACCAAACTTCACCTGTATGATGACTACTTGTATGCCTAATACTGAATTGTATCCCACATCTTTAAAATAAATAAATAAAATCAACAACAACAAAAAAGATGGCGGTTTCTCACACCCGTGCCAGCTCTAGCATGTCTCTCTCTCTTTTCCTTCACTTTGAAAACTTAAAAAGAAAAGAAAAGAAAACTCCCACAGTGCTGCTAGAAGGGTGTTTCTATATAAATTGGACCAAGTTATTACCTTGCTTTAAAAGTGGATGGCTCTTCTTTATATACAGAATAAAGGACCTTCACAATCTGGCCCCACCCTACTATTCCAACCTTACCCTGCATCCCAGTGAAACTGAACTACTTGCAGTAGTCCCCCAGTTTCAGAATCTACGCAGGCTGCCCCCTTAACTTGGAATGCCCTGATAAACCCCCATCACCCCTCACAATCCACTCGAATGTCTGTCACTTCCTCTGTGAAACTTTCTCCTAGACACTATGGCGAGGTTACTACTGCCTCTGTTCACACACACAGAATCATCACACTTTACTGTTTACACAGTATTGTCAGTGGACCACGAACTTCAAACATTAACTGATCCCTTACCTGTAGCAGAGTCTGAGCCCGATAGGGTGAAGAATACAAGAGTGAGCAGTCAGGGTTTCAGTTCACTGTAAAAATAATTTTAAATGGCACATTATCGACCGCAAATCTCTTTCACATACCTTAGTACAGGCGATTGCCAAGGAATGCGTGGTCCGCTGAATCCCTTTCACTCGCTCCCCTTTTTCGTCATCGGCCCCAGGCTCCTGGAGGACTGAACCCACAACAGGGCCCTGAACGTTACCCACCATCCTTCCCAGGGCCCCGCTGCCGCCCTCGGGAAAACCAGGAGCACAAAGCCCCACTCACCGCAACCTCCGCCGAGCTGGGGTTTGTTTGCAGGGTCGGAACAGAGTCCAGCGGCCAGAAGCGTCCCCGACGACTCCTGCCCCGCCTCTGAGACGTTGGGGTCGCGGGAACAGAGGCGGCAAACACAAGCTCGCGAAACCGAAGGGCGCGCCGCGTCGGCTGACTGGTCAGAAATTCGCGTCACGTGACGTGTTGGCACGCCAGCCAATCAGAACGCCGCATCGGTTGCGCGCTTGACCAATCCCAAGCCTCCTTGGAGAGCTGAAAGGGCCACCGAAACTCTAGGATCAGTATTCCGAGGATTTAAACCCTTCATTTCGTCAACTGTTAAGTTCCGGGGTTGTGTGCACCTTGCGCAAGCGCAATAAGAAGCCCAGCTGGGTCGACGAAGAGTGTGGCTAATAAAGCCGGAAGTGCTCCCTGCGCTGGTCGTCGCTGGACCACTTAGAAGGGGACACCTTAGGAAATTTCCCAAGGCCTTCACTTGGAGAGACAAAAGAGAGGGGAATTTAGAGTTCTTTCGATTTATTTCCTAAAAAAGAGTTTTGTCCTCTCAATAATATAAATCTTTTAAAAAAAATTATTTCCCTCTTAGCAGAAAAGAATGACTTAAATGTGTAAACTATATGTACTTAGATCCACAATTAATATTGGTGTTATATATAGTACTGTTAGCCGGGCTCGGTGGCTCAGCCTGTAATCCTGCGCCTTTGAGAGGCTGAGGTGAGTGGATTGCCTGAGCCTGCGGGTTTGAGACCCACCTGGGCAGCGAGACCTCCTCTCTACAAGAAATCAAAAAATCAGCCGGGCGTGGTAGCGCGCACCTGTAATTCCGGCTACTTGGAAAGCTGAGGTGGAAGGATCGCTGGAGCCCAGCAGGTTGAGGCTGCAGTGACCGGGAGCGGCCACTGCACTCCAGTTTGGGCGACAGAGTGAGACTCCAACTCAAAAAAAAAATTTTTTTTTCTATATATAGTACTGTTATTTTGTATATTTACATACAGTTGGGGAGGCCCAGCATGGTGGCTCACACCTGCAAACCCAACACTTTTGAAGGTCAAGGCGGGAGGGCTGCTTGAGACCCAGGTGTTTGAGGCTGCAGTCAGCTATGATGGCACCACTGCACTCCAGCCTAGGTAACAAAATGAGACCCTGTCTTTAAATATATATACATATACATTATATATAAAATATACATATACATATATATAAAATACCGGGCGTGGTACTTTTGGAGGCCTAGGTGAGAGGATTGCCTGAGCCCAGGGGTTCGAGACCAGCCTGGGCAACATGGTGAGACCTCTTCTCTACAATAAATAAAAAAAACTAGCCGGGCCTGTGGTTCCAGCAACTTGGAAGGCTGAGGTGAAAGCTGAGCCCAGTTGGTTGAGGCTCCAGTGGCAGTGAGCGTGCCACTGCACTATAGCCTGGGCGACAGAGTGAGACTCTGATTCAAATATATATTATATATTATATACTATATACTATATATATGTATTATATTTATTTATACATATTATGAGGTAGCTGCAGTCAGGCTTTCTCAAAACAAGATAGCACTCCCATAGACCCTGGCCCATGGGAACTTATGACTAAACAAACTAATGTAACTTGTTAAACATAACTATGTGCTTGTAATCTGGCTGCACGCCACTACTGTGTAGCTCTACTTAAAAGCAGATGAACAACCTGTAATCCCGCGCTTTGGGAGGCTGAGGTGAGTGGATTGCCTGAGCCCGCAGGTTCGAGACCCACCTGAGCAACTTGGGGAGCCCTCATCTCTACAATAATTCAAAAAATTAGCCGGGCATGGTAGCGTGTGCCTAAAGTTCCGGCTACTTGAAAGGCTGAGGCGGAAGGATTGCCGGAGCCCAGCAGTTCGAGGCTGCGGTGACCGGGAGTGGCCTCTGCACTCCAGTCTGGGTGACAGAGTGAGACCCCAACTCAAAAAAAAAAAAAAGCAGATGAACAAATCTCAGTGCGGAGATTCATTCCTTTTGTTATCACCAGACACCTCAATTATAAATAAAGAGTGCAGTTGTTATGAACCTCCTCTGTTCTCTGACCCGTCTGAATCCAATGTGAACCTGCCTGGAAAGGATTGAGCTCTTCCAGCACATATATGTGTGTGTCATATATATATGACACACACACACAGTTGGGCCTCAATATCCTTGGTTCTGTATCCATGAAACCACAAAGGAGAGATATTTTGGGGGAGGGGGCAACAATAAAATAATATAAATTTTAAAATACAACATAAACATGATTTATATAGCATTTACAT